TTTTGATTGGACACTCCAATCATTATCAGACCAAATAGGCGAATGACCGTCTTGTGAGTATAAGCGTAAATATGAGGGGTCTGCGGTGCACCGAAAAAGTCGGTACGGTACAAGCTTAATTACCGTCATCGGTTCGGTACAGCATTTTACACAGTACAAATTCGGTTCGGTACAGCCTATTATAATAATAAATTACTTTCAGTTTACTATCGTAGTCAAAGGCAGTTGGTTCCGAGCACATAAAAGTCTTATCAGATGTTTGTTTACGATCTTCATAATTTATTACTAGGGTGAAGATGCAATAAAAAACCCATTAGCAGTCTCAAATCCATTAACATTTTATCACGACAATAATTGTTGTATTCCAGTACTTCCAAGAACTGTTGAGTTTTATCACTTTTATTTCTTTACGACTTTCCCCCATTCTGTTTTATCATAAAAATAATAGTTTTGTGATGTCTGTTAAATGTTATCTCTAGCTGAGTTAGTATTTTCATGAATATTTAATTTGCAGCTGGCCATTGCCTACTGCCATACAACTGTTTATGCCTACATATTGTCAAAACCAGGAGCTTTACGGTTACTGAGGGATTTCACAATAGTTCTTATTTCCCTATCATCTGTGGGGAATAAAAACAAAGACTCAAGACATGTACTACTCCTAAAGATACCCTCATGGGTGTTATTTCTATATTGTGCTAGTAAGGGAATCTCTAATTCAATTGTTTTCCTGAGCTCTCCTGCTACCGTAACCGAGCAAAAGAATTTGTTAAAAATATTAGCAACCTGTTGTGGGTCGCTAGTAGTCAAACCATTGTCGTCTTTTAATGAAATGCAATTATTGAAATTTTTTTCGTTACCTATCAAATGGTTAATTACTTGCCATTGTTTACCAAACATTTTGATTATTAACATCTAATAAAGTTTGATAGTACGAGTTTTTAGTATTCCTTAGATCATTAATTAACTGTTTTTTTACTCTATTATAAGCTTCTCTCATTTGTATATTACCCGGATTTTTTTGACAGGTTTTATACAAAACGTTTTTTCTACTAACTAACTTTAACACATAGAGTGCGGCCGTTCCCGATAGGGTACGGCGCTTGGCCCCTGTACGGTGCATCCGTACCCCATCGGGAACGCTCGGCAATGCCTTTTGTATATCTTCGTTTTTGCTCTAGCGTCGGCCGAAAGCGGACCTATACCACGTTAGCGTGTAGTATGTGACTTGCATTTTAATGTGGTGTAGGTTGGTAGTAAATTTCCCCGTAATATCCCCGTCTGGCAATCTCAAAAGTCTTATTTTTGTCCCGTCTTTTTCCCTCCATTTGGCAATACAATTCCAATGGGACCGGCTACGTTCCAAGCAGTGCTGCTATCTGTGGGTGTTTCTCGTTGTAAAGCAGGACATCCCTGCACGTTATTTGCTAATCGTCAGACCAAAATTGGAAAGCCAATCACACGCGGCAATCGGGTTTGCTTGACGCTGAGGGCTGCGCCGCACTGGGGATACGCCCGCTATTTGACGTGCCGCAGCGAACGTGTTAAAAGCCTATCATTCATCCAAGGTCTTAATTTAGTTTTTGATTTTGATTTAGTTTTAATTTGTCTGTATGAATTAATCAAACAGAAATTCAATTTACCCAAAAACAATTCAAAAGCCAGAGAAATTTCCTTACATTTGTAAATGACATTCCAATTCACGTTTTGTACTTTCCTAATTAGGGAGTTAAAATCTAACTGTTGGGTTACTTGTGATTGAGGTAAACTTGGTTTTTCAAAACACCATTTGATACTAGCTGTGGAAATTCTATGGTCTGAGATGCCGGCGTCAACAACAGAGCATTCCAAAACAATGTTTTTACTAACTTTATATTTAAAGAAAACATGGTCAATACACGTAATTGAGTGTGCTGTTACTCGGGTGGGAGAATGTATGTAAGATAATAAACCATGACTTGCCATTATTATTTTATAATTATCTGAAGAAGCTTTTAATAGATCTATGTTTATATCTCCAGAAATTAGCAAATTATGAGACTTTGTTTTTGACAAAAGAGAATCAAACTCTTCAATAAAACTATCTATGGAATGTTCCTGTAGCCTGTACACAGCAATAATTCCAATAATAATGTCTCGATTGCATTTGACTTTTACCCGCAGGATATCAGCAGTTATTAGATTATCGTTATCTGTACAATCACAAGATAGATAGTCAGCTGAATAGACCATGCCTGCCCTTATTTCAGAATTACATTTAAAAAACATAGAATAACCAGGAATACGATACTGATCAACTTCGGAAGCTTCTATCCATATCTCGCTTAATATTATTATATCAGGGATTCTGTGTATATTTTTTGTAAAACTAATAAAAAATTATCAAAATTCTTCCTGACACTTCTTATATTTTGATGTATGATTACGATATCGTTAATATGACAATAGAATATAGAGCTGTTTAAAACATGACTCATTTAAAATTTAACAATCAAAACAGAAATGTGACAATGCCAGGCATACAGATTACATACAGACTTGTCAGTTGGTTGAGTCGCCAGTGTCCGGCGCTGGGGCGCGTTGTTTCTGCAGTGCAGCGACTTGCTCCATCGTCGTTACTACGACCACTCTGGCTCCATCATCGGCTTGCGTCAGGATCTTCCTATTGCGTATCCAAATGAACTTGATATGAGATTCTTCCCTCAATGCTCGCACAGCGTTAAACACTCGACGTCTTCCTGGGCTGAGACTTTCATTGATGTAGATGACTTCAGCCAAAATTAAATTAAATCCTATATCCCTGGTATTTAAGTTACGCTTAACTCGTCTCTTTTGCATAAATTCTTCTTTAGTGACTCGTTGAGTGAACTTGACGATAATCCCTCTTACGCGACTTGTCCCTTCTCTGACGGCTCCTAAACGATGACAGGCGTCAATATCGGTTTCAACTATTGGGGCACCAATGCTATCACCCACTTTTTTAACAAGCAGTGTTAAGTTTTCATTTTTTTCCTCCGGGATACCGTGTATCTCGATGCAATTTACTCTCGAATATTGTTCCATGTCATCCAATCGGGCCTCTAGATCCTTATTCTTCTTTAAAAGCTGAATGTTTTCTTTTTTCAGTGCGTCTAAACTCTCTTTAAAGTCGTTAATTGTCACTGATTGAGTTTATATTACCTCCTTTAAGTCTTCCATTTTTTCATGACACAACTCAACTGACTTTCCTAACTCGGTTTATAATTCTTTGATTTGTGCCTTGGACTCCTCACGCATCTCTTGCAACAATTTATACACATCTGCAATGTTTACGGTACCTTTATCTAGTTGAGATTCAACTTGCATACTTTTCCTTCTTAACTTCTTACAAGGTTCACAACGCCATATCTCATTATTAACTAATAAGTAATCTATATCTTCTTTGGACATTTGAACACACCCTCCATGGAAAATGCTGTTGCAATCACTACACTGAATTTTGGTTTGACGGTTACCAACATTTTTAGAACAAATTCGACACTTGTCACTCATTGTAGGTTAGATTTTAGAAATATATTTACAAAACAGTTATAATTAAAAATTTGTTATTATAAATTTGAAGCCACAACACTATGATCAAAACATGTACTGACAAAAGGGGTCTTATCACATAAAGATAAGAGTGGTCGGCCACAACACAACCATCCGCTTCGAGCTCTGACTCATGACTGATGTTATATAATTTTTAACTATAAAATATCATATTTATTTACTCTCACCGCTTACCCATGATAAAGGTTTTTGACGAGCTTATGGAAGAAAGTATGTGTCAGAATGCTGATACCGTTTATTTTTAATTATCTCCGTAACCGTTAGGCATACAACAAAAATCTAAACTCAGTTTCTGTACATAGTGTACATAACCTAAGGACGTGGTCGAACCCCGAAGACCAAGACTGTATGTATATTAGTGACGACCGTGGAAGCCTATCCATGAAGATCATATTTTTCGTTATTTTAGGGGGGTAATGGGAAAATAACATAATTTACAGTAACCTTTGAACCTTAATTTTTACATAAATGGGAGTTGTACCATTTTGTTCAGAATTCAAAGGGCTACAACATACTAAATTTTTATCAACATCATTCGGGCCATTTTTGAGTAAATCCGAATGTTCTGTTATTTTATAGGGTTTTATGGGGAAATCAACATTAATAATCAAAATTTCAAAAATAAATAAAAATCCTGGAGATACCATGGATTAGAACCTAACACCAAATTTCATCGAAATCGGACCAGAGGTGAAGTCCCTAGCTCTGTACACATCCAGACACACAGACACACACACACAGACATTACTTCGAAAACCACTTTTTTTCGGTCCAGGGGGGCCCAAAATGGATATATCCACTCAAAACTCAAACTCGAAACTTTTGATGAAAACAATACTTTCTCCATACTAATGGTATAGGGGGAGAAAGAAAAATTGTAAATTAAAAATTCCCATGTTATTCTTATGGAGAATAAAAAACTTTTTTAGTTCGGTTTATGAATATATATTTAATTTTGTTTATTTTATTCTAAGCTATCAACATTTCAATAAAAAAAAACACCTCAATACCTTCCCCATAGCAGCAAACCTAAGTAATCATTAAAATTAATGTTATTTAAATATGAAATAAATCTGAGAATTTTAAGGAAATATTTTAGTAGAAATTCAGCCCAGCAAATGGAAATTCGCATAGTCTGCAGGTTTGCTGCGGCGGGGGTTTTATTTACTTTATTTTAATTTAATAACACGTACAATGCTGATCAAGAAGTTATTTATATATATATATATATGTCCGTTAGTGCGATAACTCAAGCAAAAATGACCCGATTTTGATGAAATTCGGTACAAACGTGTAAACCAACAGAATTGTGCCAGATCTAAGCTTTAATGACCAAGAAACATGCATTAAATATTACTAACAGCATAAAACAACCAATAACATAATAATTGGACGGTTTGTAAACTAACTTGTTGGCAAAGTCCATCTGCAGCATGCCATATCCTTGATCCTCAATGGTGCCTTCACTAGAGATATACAAGTTGGGCAATTTCACTGACAGACTGCTCCACTCAGGCAATTCACCAGAGGACACATGATGTCGAGAGAATGTCACCACTCCATCTGGGACTGATAACATAAACATAATAATAATCCACTAAACATGCAGCGAACCTAAGTTTTTAATATTCACAGTCCAAAAAATGTGACTCTTCTGTAAAGTTTGTTTTAACCAGTAAAACTACCATAACGTCCAAGTAAGATACTAAACCAATCTTTAATTAAAGTTGATTAAAAATTAAATTAATAAACCCCAAAAACTATTTTTTAAAGAAGACTAATTTAAAATTTGAAACCAATACCGTGTAGCCAACATAAACATTACCTTTACTAGTGACTCTTCGAAAATAGTTGATCAAACATTTCAGTTTCTCGTGAAGACAAGGAATTCTAGCATCTTTGGCAAAATCTCCATTGAATAATCTACAAGACAACAATTCAATTAGAAGCCAAACAGTATTCAATAATTTATAGCTACGCCAAAATATTGTACTTTGGTAGGTGAATTAGTAAACAGAAATTGTAACGATGTATGCGGTTTCAGGTCCATGAGCGAAGCGAACATAGATGCAATAGTAGTTTACGCAACAATCTTGTAAAGATAGTGTTAACAAGTAGAAAATTTTATGTACGAGCCTTGGAAAGTGCCTTAAAAACTTCTACGAGTGTCGATAACACTATTTACGGGAGTTGCATTCACTACTGTACCTAAAACCAGTTTTTAATTACTAATTCGCATAGTTGGGAAAGTTAGTCAAAATTTCTAACTAGTTAGAAGTTAGAAGTTAGTCCCATAAAAAGTAGCTGATAGAAGTTACTTGTTAGTTCGTTTAAAAAGTAACTGATAGAAGTTATTAGTTAGTTGGAAAACTAACTGATAGAAAATAAAGTTAGTTTTCGACATCTGTAGAAGATAGCTAGATGGTTAGATGGTGGTTAGATGGTTGTTTTAAAGGATTTCATATGTAATGAAATAATGACACATCTTGGTTACTAATTATTGTGTTTAATTAAATATTAATTAAACATCGTCACATTTACATTACATGTAATGTAAAAACATTCATTACTACAACAAAATTTACTTTAAATGCCTATTAAACTTTAAAAGAAGTTGTTTTTCAAAATTGGTGTTGCTGATTCTTCCTCATCTGTTACTCTGTTAGTGATGACTCGGCTTGCCGCTCTGAACAGGCGTTCGCAGTGAACAAAGGTGTTTTTTAATTTGTAGATTTATATTTGTAGTTATCTTATTATAATGTATTTGTTTCATGACTAGTGAATATTTTGTTATGTAATTTTGTTATGTAATGTAATTTTATAACTAAATAATGATTTACACATTAGTTTGCCGTGAGTGAATACTGAAGCAATGTCAGTATGGTAGTCAGGTACACATCGGTAACGTCGCAGATTCGCACGTGCTCCTGCCCGGCTGGGAAATACTGTATCGTACAAACACCAGGCGGCCCGCTACCAGTCACGGGAGAAATTTTTGTCTACAAATATAAATCTGTTTAAAAACCACCTTTGTTCGCATTATAAAATCTGTCATATTGGTATTATTTCTTGTGTCACGGCACGGCAAACACGATGGTATTTTGAACAAAATTTTCAGTGTCTTATTAACGATGTTAGCATACGTTTTAAAAATTAACAGGAGCATAAAAACTATTGTGAATAAAACTTTTAAAATGTATGGAAATGTTAACAATGAACCTACCAATAAGCCATAAGAATTTCAGAAAGATTGGCTCAGTGGCATGTTTACAAATAAATTTTAAACTTCAGTGTTAGTGCAGAGTTTCTTAAAAACCGGTACTTTTTAGGATCTTTCAACTATATAAATTTTTCTGGTAAACGGAATTTTTTTAAATTGACACCACATAAAATGTACACCAGCTTACATTTAATTTTTGTTTCAACAAAATCGGTTAGGCACAAACTCGGGTGCCCATATTTATTTGGTGATACAAAAACTTGTCATCACTCTGTTTTCAATAGTTCAAAAGACAAAAAAAAATAGTGATCATCTCACCTTTCCTGACATAAACATTACTTTCGATACACCAACATAAGTTACAACTGAAGTTCCCAGTTAGGAAAAAACACAGTTTGTTGATGTTCTATTAGCTGAATTTTACACTAAAATTGATTGTACAACAATTAATGGACAGCAATTAATGGATTACGAAATATCAGATCATTTTTTAAAGTCTGATGAAGTAGTTTTTCCAGTGTGATAAAAGTATAGTTTACTACTAAATTTATAAGTGACCTATTTGTGGCGAGATAAAGTTTAAAAGAGCATGGGAAATACATTGAGAAATACACTATAACAGTACTAAAAAATAAAAATTATATTCATTAAACAAATATATAGGCCTATTCCACTTCAAGTTAAAAACGAGACCATCATACTTTTTCACCACTTACCTCGAAGCACTTGTGACAAATGCTTTAATTATTTTTGTTTTGGGTACAAACACAATAAACATTTTAACGCGTTTCCACCCTTTTCATTTTTTCAACTTGTTGAAATGTCACTTAACATTGGTCACTTGATATCACACTCGCCCGCCATAGCAAACAAATATTATTAATCTACTCCTACTTAATTAAAACTGTTCACCTTAAAACTTATGTATTTAAAATATTTAACTGTCACTAAAATATATATAACGACAAGACAACTAAGAAACAAACAAAAATTAACACCTGCCTCGGTCAGATATTGAACATCGACTGAAGTGAAGACATTGTTTTGACACTTGAGATTACAGTACATATCAATCGCCAAACAAACATTCCCCCTTCCCACCCTTCGGTGCTTGGGGTCCCCGGGGTCCGCTGCATACCAAAGCAACTGGACTTTGACTTTCTCTTTCCCCACCCCACACGTTGTTTGTCACAAGGGCGCTGACCTCTCACGTACGCACGCAACACGCAACCCTCACTGAACACGTAAAATAAATAACCCGTACTGGAAATACTTTCGCCTGACCAGAAAAGCTAACGATTTAAAACTAGCGAATATATTATCTATTCGTTGTCTATTAAACTAACTGAGTAGAAGTTATTTCCAGCTCTTTTTAAAAACTAACTAATAAAATAGAAGTTAGCAAAAAAAAAAAAACGAACGAATAGCGCTATTTGTTAAAATTTCTATTCGTTATTCCCAAGTATGCTAATTAGTAATTATCACTCCTCAAAACTTCTAAGAGAGGTTTTATGTTTCCGTTTATAACCTCTCATTGCCACTAATGTCAGTGCTAACATCAATGTCGATGCAACGACTCATTGTACTAATCACTAATTGCACCAATCGTTAACAATTAAATTGGTAAGCAGCTGATTAGTTGAAGTTCAAGGCATCACAATTTTACTTCTTCTCTCTCAATCCTTCAACCTCATTGGTTAGTTACCCGTGTTGTTAAGTAAAATAAAACTATGCTGTTATGTAATTTTTATGAACGTTATGAAACTACAACTCTATATTTGTTTATTAAGATACTAATTTCATATATAAATAACACATTGTTACTTTCACTTTAAGGTTATGGTAGGCCAGACTTGGGAAAGTTACTCAAAAAATGTAACTAGTTAACTTACAGTTACAAGTTTCGATCTTTTGAGTAATGTAACTGATTACAGTTACAAGTTACACGCTCCAAAATTTAACTGATAACAGTTTTAGTTACAAGTCACATGATCTAATTTAAAGGGATGTAATCTCTGAAATCAGAAATAAAATTGAAGGTTTTTTAACCAAACCCATGTATAATTTTAAAACCTTTAAGAATTAATGCTGCTTAGGTCCCATGTACTTTTAATTGTCAAACATTTTTTCAAACAACAAAAACACAAAGATTAGCACAGCAAGCTTGTTACCCTTATATATAATAAGTGAAGGTGATTTCTATGAAACACTATTCCTCTGTTAATAATGGACGGATTTTTAAAAACAATGTTTCAAAATCAAGTTTTTGTGTAGACCCCTTTTGCCAAATCCTGTAATAAAAGTCCTCGGGCTTTACCCCACAGGCCATTAAAATCCCAATGTATTTCTTATGAAGAAAGGATTTTGTTTACTTAAACAGGCGAATAATTTGTATTATTTGCATACTAAAACAGCTGTTCATAGTAAACTCATGATACACACAAGAGCGTTCGTTTTCAGTTTCGATAACTGGAGTGGAGTGAGCGTTCGTTTTCAGTTTTGATCACTGGAGTGGAGTGATTGATTACATTATCTTTGAGTTGACTCTTTTAAGTCATCAGAAATTATAACTGTTATTAGTTTTGAAATAACGCCTGTAATACTTTGCAATTGCTCGAATTCGGGCAACAGGTGCACTAGTTAATTTTAGAATAGACAATTTCAGCAAACAAAAAATGCATATGTATTTTTTGTTTATTATTTCGCGAGTCACTGTTAGAGTACCAAAGAGAAAGAAGGAGGCCAGCAGTCAATCAGCAGTTGTAAGATCAACGACTAGGAATTAAAATAATTGATATAAGGGTATTAAAAAACATTGCAACCTTTAGAGGTACAGTGTGGGAACTGGGAACATAAAACAACCCATACTTTACATTACAAGCCCAATAAATTATTCGTGAATTTCACATGAGTGTTAATTTACAAATGACCCTGTATTACACGGTGGCTTGCAGACAGCAGAGTATTGGAATCATCTCTAGCCTGAGTGACCGGTCATTTACTTTAAATGCTAATAAATAATAATTATTGTTAACTGAAAATTCGAGCAGATTATGTAACAAGGAACCGGAGTATCTCTTACATCAGTTGTGTTGTACATATAGTGTAGGCCTATAAAGCCACAGCAATTAGAGCAAGTACTTACTCTATGCACTTATCACTTGGAACGCTACTCACTATGGTCCGAGTCACTTTACATCTAACCTTGGTAAGCTATAGTTGTAACTTACTAGACCTAATAGTTAAACAAGTTGTGATTTAGGATTATTTTTAATCGGGCGTTTTATCGGCACGTATTCAGATTCTTATGGTTGTTCAAAAGTACAGGTATTCAAGCTATGATAATTTTAATTAAATTAAAAAGGTAAATAAAATAGGCTAGTTATGATTAGTGTATTCTTTGAAAAGCGTGTTTTTGCAAAACCTTCACTAGTTATATACAATAGATCAGACCGGTCTTTGACCTTTAAACGACTCCTTATATAATAGAATAGCGGAAATAGAATCCAAACCTTCAGGACACAAGTGTTGTCCTCTAACAAATTAGTAACCTACAGCTAGATTGAATGAATTAGGCCTACCTGTTGAAATTGATGTAGGGAAAAGAGCTGTACTCAGAATTGTTCTTGGTGGTGTTGCGGCGTGGAAAGGTACACAGGAATGCGTTGGCCAGCAGACAGCTGACCTGATACTGAGACAGGCTGATACTGTGTGTGTGGTGCTGCCTCAACAGCGGCACTCCTCCTGTCACTACCTTGGGCAGACTCAGGGCCAGCTTTATGATCTTTGGCAGCACAATCTTGAAAAAGTATTCTGTTTCCTCTTCTTCCAGTGCCTGTACAATGGTGTTAATAAAAAAAAGTTAAAACCTGTTAAAAAATTAATTATGGCCAAAGAATTGGGTTTTAAAACTGAACAAAGCTAAGCAGTCTTAGACCAGGCCGTGGTTGGGGTTGCGTATGCAAAATTATTCGGACGCACTTTCTCTTTTGATTGTTGTTAAGGACACTTTGGACAATAAGAAAACGCATGTTGCCACGATCGGCGTTGGTCGAGTACCAATATGGCTGCGATCCAAAATGGCGGACCACCTGACTTGACCTTGATCGAGAAAAATTCAAATAATTCCATTGTTTTTTGACTGATTTTGATAACTCTTTTATAGTTGAAAAGAAGAAGAAATTTTCTTTAAGAGTCTCCATTACACTTATAGTGATATCCCGTTTAAAAAAGTGCTAAATTAGATTTTAATAAAGATTTTATTCTTTACTGTACTGATTTTTTACTGTACTTTTAAAACAGATTAAATATACGTTGAGGTGATTATATTTGAGTTTTTACTGACGAAATATGTCCGAAATCAACCTTGTAGCTGCTTGGGTAACAAAAACGTAATCATCCTTTATCATTTAATAACCAAAATCTAATAATTTGTAATTTTATAATCCATATATTGTTAATGTTATTAATTTACAACAAAACACAATTGGAGAAGATACGTTTTTAAAAAAGAGCTATGCAAGAAAATTTTTATGTAACAATTGGGTAAACAGCTGGGTAATTCGACCCTGCTGAGTACAAATCTGCGTGTTGCCAAAGCGGAATTTGAACCGGAAGTGCCGTATCTAAGATGGCAGCCAGACCCTGTTTGCCCCATTACTCTTCTGTTATTTGGCCTTTATAGTAATAGGGTAAGTAATTTAAAGTAGACGCGCCATGACTTTATCTCAGTTTTGCTGTGGTAATTTGCGCTAAATGTGACCTTTACTTTGCCAAGATCACGCTGTATCATTAAATTGGTCTATTAAATTTTAAAAATGTATTCAAGCCAAATGAAGAAAACATCTTAATTACTAAATCAAAAAAACACTGATCAAGATTTTACAGTGTGTCATTCCATCTGTAAACACTTATAAGAACCTAAGGAGTCAAATATGCGATTGTGATTATAATATTCGGAGGAGTTCTAACTACTGTATAAGTATTCTTTTGTGCTAACTGCAAAACGTTAACATTTCAGTACAACGTCGAACAGATTAAAATAACAAACAATAACAATGGCTATCACTGAACTGACCGAATTCTTCATTACTCTCCTCCCCTGTCGCCGGTAGATATGCTGGTCTCTAGCAGTCAATGCTGCAAGCGAAGATAGGCCCGTTCAAGTTGGTCTGAAGCACAAGCGTCTACAGCCTGATTGATCACTTATTGCAAACAAAAAAACTGGCCATCACTATAAAAGTAGAACTATCTTTTCTTGGTGACTATGCGACCTGTCGTCTGTTTTGTTTAGCTCTCCCACTCCCGTCCCGAGTCCTGCTTCGTTTCAGTTCATTAAGCTGTTTGATTAGACCTAGCTAAGCTTTCTTTTCTATTTCCGTTCTTGGAATGTTTTTAAAAAGAAGTTCTGAATTTCTTGTGGTAAATTACATTAATTGTATTAATGATGTATCTGGTAGGAAATGAAAAAAAGGATCGAAATGACTTTGGTTTCTGCTGTGAGCAGTGTGGAAAACACACTGCTGTGAACAGTTACAAGCACAACTTAACTGTCTATCTAAAAAAGAAGTCATGAAACATGAACATGATAGTCATTTGGGTAATAATTTGATGGAAAAACTATTTTGTTGACTTTTTACTGTTATATTTTAATTTTGTATAGTCTTTTGCAAATAACTTACTTATCTTATCATGGAAGGTAGGGTTGGGCCTATCATCAATTTACTGTATAAATTAATAAACGTTTTCTGTGAATGTTCAGTTTGGTTTGATGTTCAGCCACAAATTAATAAACCCAAAAGTTAAGTTAGGCCTGATGGACCCCTGACCGAGAAGAATATCTCATTTCCAAAACCATTTTCCTATAAAATCCTCTTCCTTAGAATTACCCCTCTTTAAAAGCATACATGAGATTTGAGGTTATTGGGATTCCGTCTCTTTATGCTATGATGTAGCAGACGACAGGCCGCAGTCATCCAACCAGGAAGGTTCTTCTTTTTCAGTGGCCTGTTTTTTTCGTTTGCAATAAGTGATCAGTCAGTCTGTAGACGCTTGTGTCTGACGCAACTAGAATTCGCACAAACTATCACACGGCGATGAGTTCATGCATGATTGATGATAAATAATTTATATTATGTTGCGAAAATAGTTTATTTCATAACACCTGTAAATTTCTGTTAATTGTAATCATATGTTTATTTCTATGTTTGAAAAAGGTAAATAAAGTTAGTTGAGTTTGAGTTATGACATAAAACAGTGCATCTACTTAATTCTCAGTAAAATAGTACATATTATGGTACTGTACCTATTTTTTCTTCATATCCATTATTTCGGAGAGGGCCCAGGGGGCCTGGGCTCCCCCCTTATATACGCCCCTATTACTAAGTATATAAGTATAACAAACTTAACTTTAGCAATTAGCAATTTGCTTTGCTGGATTAAGCCTTGTAGCTGGAGTGGAACATCTCCTGGATCAATTCTAACTACATGTGGGTAGAATTACTTTCTCAATTGATTAAGAATGAAACCACAAGATGTCACAGAGCAAAATGAACAGATTTGAGTAAGAAAGTTAAATATGTCAAAGGCTAGTAGTGTTGCCAAGTAAACAACAAAGTCAGGATCTCAAAATATAAAATGTTTGAAAAGGGCCACACTCCCAATCAGAGAACCGAACTTTTTACAGTCGTTTGTGTACGTCAATCGTCTCCCCCTGTAAGTATACAGCTGGAGACGATTGACTGACGACGATTGATTGGGTAAGTAGTAACTTACAAGACGAAGAAGACAACGATATAAAGTGTGCATTTTACGAGCCTGAACTTAAAAAAAAAACTATCTATCCAGACACTTTTCTAGTTGAAAAAGTAGTCAGACGTAAAGGAAACAAAATATACGTCAAGTGGTTGGGACTTCTATCTCGGTTCAACTCCTGGGCATAGTAAACAAGCTACACAACTAGGAAAAACTTTGTCAGAAGAAAGGTTTATGTCAAATGCCTTGGTTTTTCCCTCACTCTACAACTCATGTGCTTAAATAGTCTATTAACATGTTCGTTCCACCATTCTGGATTAGATCTTGTTATGGTAAACATATATTGCAAAAGCTATGATTTGAAAAAGTAAATCGGTCCCGGGCCTAGGTCTTACAGTGCCACCTACAGTACTGTAATGAATGAATGAATGAATGAAAATACTTTTTTATTGAGGCGAAAATTAGGACCCCATGGTCCTTTCTTACAGTTAACCTCTTATGTACTAAATATAAACTAAACAATGCATTTTTATATAGAACTTTTAAAACTATAAACAAAATAAAAAGTAAAAACTTAAGTTATAAATCTTTGTCCCTAATATACGCATACACACACACATTCACTCTTTGCCATACCTAGGCCTAACGCACGCTATCCCACCAAGCCACGGTCATCCGATCGAGATAGTACGCTTTCAGTGCCACCGTCAGTCGGGAACGGGATTCTATGCTCCTGATATTGAATGGTAGGGAGTTCCAAAGGCGACATGCTGTTACTGTAAATGATCTATTATAAACTGTTGTCTTATGGTAAGGAATTTGGAGAGTTGATGAGCCTGGGTATTTCTTGCACCTCTTTCATTTAAAAATCTAAAACTGATCGCAAAATAATTTGGAGTTTTGAGATTGATGGCCGAATCAGTTATATTAATAATGCATATTTCTCTAACGTCACACAGTTTTAAAAGAGAAGAATTTATATAGTATAGTGTGACGTGATCATCTCATTGAAGATCATACAAAAATGTTATACAGTAATTGAAGTGGGGAAACACTACTGTCGGGGAAAAAAGTTTAGACACTCGAGTTTGGAGCTCTACAGAAAAGTAACCGACTAACTTAGAAAAACACATAGTATATCATAAATTTTCGTTGTTTTATTCTACGTATTCCTGTGAAAACAAAAATCTTTTAGCTTGTTTAGGAAATTTTTTATGACAGTCGGAAGGTAAAAACTGCCTGTTTTTAGAGTACAAAAAACCATCTTATGACTTTGAAAATTCGCACAATGTAAACTAAACAGCAAAACTTTATCAAACTTTAATACAATATGGACACATATAAAATGAATTAATTTGTGTAGTTTCAGAATTTTTACTCTACCCAAAAAGTTTTTGTTGTAACTTTTGTAAATCAACTTTTTCTCAAAAACGGCAAACGCTAGAAAAAAAATTAAAAGCTTGTTTCGAAGGTGATTGTTTTTGTATTTGAAATATTGATACTGCTCAACCAAATTTTTACGCATGTTATTTATATAAATTTACAAAAAACTGGATGATCTCGCGCCTGCAAGGGGTGCAAACGCCATCGCCCGCTCAGGAATCCAGTGCAGTGTTGCCACGATGGACCTTGACGGAGCGTAAGGTGATTCACGCAGTGTGTGTCACTGACTGACTCACAGGAAATATCATGTTTTGCATTCTTCCAAAGGGTCGAAGGTATTACCACCCCAAATACAGGGTGTTTCAGTAAAGCGTAGCGGGCTATAGAGATTCAGATTCTACATGCAAAAATAAGTCGAAAATGAAGAATAACTTTTTTTTGATTTCGGCTTAGTTTGGCCGTAATCCGCCATTTTGTATTTTTTTGAAAATATTTAATTACTCAAAAACCCTGGAGATATTTTTATGAAACTTGGTATAAACTTTAAGTCTACAGGTATAAACATTCTCTGAAAATATCTTTGATCAGGCTCATCAAATTTCAAAATGGCGGCCATTTAAATTTTTTTAAATAAAACTCAATGAAAAGCGGCCATTACAAAAAAAATTTTAAATGGTCGCCATTTTGAAACTAGATGAGCCTCGATGATCGAAGATATTTTTGGAGAATGTTTATACCTGTAGACTTAAAGTTTATACCAAGTTTCATAAAAATATCTAAAAGGGTTTATGAGTAATTAATTATTTTCAAAAAAATACAAAATGGCAGATTACGGCCAAACCAAGCCGAAATCGAAAAAAAGGTTATTCTTTGTTTTCGACTTATTTTTGCATGTAGAATCTGAATCTGCATAGCCCGCTACGCTTTACTGAAACACCCTGTATAGGTGCTAAATCTAAATTGTCAGATTCGGAATATACAATGATTGTCAGTGATGTATGTTTTTTTTAGAAGTGAGGGAGTGACGTTGGAGGTCCAAAGCCCTCATTAGAAAAGGTGACGGGAAATGGTTAATAATTAATAATAACTGCTGTTCAGTATATTGACTCAACAGTTCACAGCCCATTGCTGCTCAGTGTCCAGATGTTCAATTTGGCAACACTGTACGGGGTCTGCCGGTCAGAGCCGGTGGCGGTCTGGAAGTGCCGTATTCGGCCTCTGCACTATCCAAATTAAATGTTAACTTATATAAATAATATGCTTAACAATTTGGTTGAGCAGTATCAATATTTCAAATACAAAAACAATCACCTTCGAAACAAGCTTTTAATTTTTTTTCTAGCGTTTGCCGTTTTTGAAAAAAAGTTAATTTACAAAAGTTACAACAAAAACTTTTTGGGTAGAGTAAAAATTCTGAAACTACACAAATTAATTCATTATATATGTGTCTATATTGTATTAAAGTTTGATAAAGTTTTTCCGTTTAGTTTACATTGTGCGAATTTTCAAAGTCATAAGATGGTTTTTGATACTCTAAAAACAGGGAGTTTTTACCTTCCGACTGTCATAAAAAATTTCCTAAACGAGCTAAAAATTTTTTGTTTTCACAGGAATACGTAGAATAAAACAACAAAAATTTAGATATACTACGTGTTTTTCTAAGTTAGTTGGTTACTTTTCTGTAGAGCTCCAAACTCGAGTGTCTAAACTTTTTTCCCCGACAGTAGTGACTTGATCAGTAAAAGTCTAATGTGAAATGGTAAAAGTCTTTGCATCTTCTTCAGTGTGTGGACAGTGGCAAACACCCTTTTACATGTGTTAACCACCTTGTCAGTCCAGTCTAATAGCTACTTCCCTATAGGGAAATTCGCTAAAATCGAATGGTGTCTGTCTGTATGTGTGTTATTCAATATCATAAAAACTACTAGACCAACTGGGCTTAAAAATTTTACAAAAATATTACTATACCATAAATCGCAATAGGACTATTGCCACTTTGATATTGATAATTTGAAATAAAACTCTCATTGCAAATGGATTTGTAGAGATTAACATCTGATCTAACAATTTGTTCAAATGAAATCAATTTTTTATTTGAAATAGGAATATTATGTTTTGGTTTTAGTCTACCTGAAGAACCATATGTTAGCAACAACAAAATTTGAAGTTTTCATTTCTTGTTTAAAGGCATACTGACTAAATAATGTATTTTCTTTGAATAATTACTAAGCAAAACGTTTGTCATTTTGTAAACGATTTCAAAAGCTAGGCCTCCATATGGCTTTCCATAATATTAATTGAATTATTTTTATCACATCAACATTCAGACTGGAGTCGGAGACTCTGATGCTTTAATTATTGGATGGTGTAGTACATATTTTACTAGATTCAGATTCAGATTCTTTATTCGTCACAATACATTTTCCTCCCCAGCACAGCTGATAAAACAGGTGACATATCAACATCTTAAAAACTAAAAGCAAAATATTACATGATACAATTTTTCGGCAAAAACTTAATCAAATGCCTTAATTTTATATATATATTTACATCATTTACTAGTACTTAAAAGAAACATCGGTTTATACACAACATGAAACGTAAGCAATAAGGCTTTTTTGTTTTAAGATTTGCTCCCACATATTATACATCAAAATATGTGTGCAAACGTCAAAATCAAACTCAAAATAGGTGTGCAGATGTGCAAACTGGCATTAGATTTTTGATTTATGCTCTAAGACTCAAAGGAAATTTAAAATACCCCACCGCAGCAAACCTGCAGACTAAACAAATTTCAACCTGTCTGATTACATTTTTACTAAAATATTTCCATAAATAAGACATATTTATTCCCAATTTAAATAACATTAGATTTAACAAATGCTTAGGTTTGCTGCTACGGGGAAGGTATGAAGTGTTTTTTTACCAACGTCAATAGTATAGGATGAAATAAATAAATTTGCCAAATTTTATCAACATATATCCATAAACAAGTAAACTACAACAGTTTTCATTTTCTCCATAAGAATAACATAAGAATTTTAAATTTACACTTTTTTTAATTTTCTCCGTAACCATTAGGCATACAACAATGCTTCAATATACTAAATTATTTCTTTTTTTAAGCCCTACAAAATAGTTGGGTAAGAAATTCAATTTTTTTTGTTTTAGGGTAAAAAATGAGAAAAACCCATTTTTACCCCATAAAACCCCCCATAATTCCCCGTTCCCATGATCCGATCATGCTGGTTCGCAACTTGTTCGAATAAATGTAGGTTTGCAACCAAATTTCATAAAAACCAGATCATTTTCGTTTGAGTTATCGTGCTAACGGACCCACACATATATATATATATATATATATATATATAAAAAATAAATCAAAAACATATTTAACAAAGTACCCTTTTAGTAATTATTTTATTTTTAATGACGACATGTTTCGCAGACTAAGTCCACTAACAAAATTATCAAGTCATATTTACCATAACCTCATTCTTTAAACTAACAAAATTAAAAATATAATCATATGTAAAAATAATAATACCCCTGCCGCAGCAAACCTGCAGACTAAGCGAATTTCCATTTGCCTGATTGGATTTACACTAAAATGTCTCCTTAAAAATATCACATTTATTCCCTATTTAAATCAAATCAGTTTAACACATACTTAGGTTTGCTGCAACAGGGAGGGTTAAAGTGTTTGTTTTTTATGTAAAATGTTATTAGTTAGTAAGAAATAAAAACATTTTCCAAATTTGGGCAAAATATGTTAATAAATAAGCAAACTACAACAGTTTACTTATCCTCCATAAGAATAACATGGGAATTTTAAATTTACAATTTTTTTAAATTTTCTCCGTAACCATTAGGCACATTATAACCCTTCAATATACTAAATTATTAGTTTTTTTAAGCTCTACAAAATAGTTTGGAAAGAAATTGCAAAAATGGGAAAAACCCATTTTACCCCATAAAAGCCCCCATAAACCCCCGTTCCCATGGTCCGATCATGCTGGTTCGCGAACTCATTCGAATAAACGTAGGTTTACACGTTTGTACAAAATTTCATCAAAATCGGATCATTTTTGCTTGAGTTATCGCGCTAACGGACACATATATATATAAATACTAGCTGACCCGGCGAACTTCGTATCGCCTAAGTTATAGGTTTCCCCTAAGACAGACCGATGGAAAGAAAGTACCGTTACGTTTAATTTTCAAGATGATCTCGTTCGCATCGCTCAATCACGTCCTGGTTGAAGTTCGTTCGCTACGCTCACTCACCTTTGGGTTGGAGCTCGTTCGCTACGCTCACTCACCTTTAGGTTGGAGCTCGTTCGCTGCGCTCACTTGCCTTCAGGTTAGCTCGTTCGCTACGCTAACTTGCCTCCAGGTTGAAGTTCGTTCGCTACGCTCACTCACCTTTGGGTTGGAGCTCATTCGCTACGCTCACTCACCTTTAGGTTGGAGCTCGTTCGCTGCGCTCACTTGCCTTCAGGTTAGCTCGATCGCTACGCTAACTCGCCTCCAGGTTGAAGTTCGTTCGCTACGCTCACACACCTTTTGGTTGCAAATTAGCTGTGGTCATAAATGTAAAAGAAATAATAGTGCTGCACCCTGTTGGTAATCCTTGTAACTTTAATGCTATTGAACATCATAGAACAGAACCAACTTGTTTAATTGAAACAGCTGTTAAGATTCATTAATTCCATTTCTCATAAGGTTAACATGGGAAACTCCAGAGCCACTGGGGCGGAGCCCTTTTAAGAATTTCGAAACGGGAAATAGTTTACGTCCGATTCGCATACCTACAGAATTTACACACCAAATTTCATAACGATTGGTGAAGTCGTTCCGGAGGAGTTTGCAGACAAACACTGTGACACGAGAATTTTATATATTAGATATATATATGAATTTGAACGGATGCTATTTTTGTCCTCTAGGGACCTCAAAACGAAAAAAAAAAATCGGCCCCGGGTCCAGGTCTTACCATGAGTACTACGGTAATAGCTTATTCCCTATATGGGAAATTCGCTAAAATATAAAATATGTTAACTAAATCTTAATAAATTTTGGTATTAATTTTTTAAAATTTTTTCGGCATTAAAAATAAAATAATTACTAAAAGGGTACTTTGTTAACTATGTTTTTGATTTGTATTATATTATTAGCCCTAAACATGCAAGAAAATATATACATATATATATATATGAATTTGAACGGATGGTGCTTTTGGCCACTAGGGACCTCAAAACGAATAAGTTAATCGGTCCCGGGTCCAGGTCTTACCATGAGACCTACGGTAATAGCTTATCCCCTATATGGGAATTTTGCTAAAACAACTGTACATGCACAAAGATTTGACTTGCTTTTAAAAGCAGAATTAACAACTGGTAAGAAAACTTTTATGATGACAACACAGATGTGACAAGCCACCAGTAGACTTACACTAAAATACTTGTTTTGTGCCAATAAACATACAATTTTTATTATCTTTCCCATTAGGATAACCTTCTATCGTATCAGCCCTTGTGCTCACCTGAGAGAAGAAGGAGTGCATGAGGTGGAAGTCCCAGCGATCACTGTACTTGGAGTTGTAGTGCAGTACGGCCGCTTGCAGCTGATCACTATTGTTGATGGTGGTTCGGAGAGACTCTTCCACCAACTCCCACCTTGTGCGCAGCTCCGTCTGTCACAATTAGAGTGAACTACAGTCTAAAATATGATTTCTTCCTTAGTCCAAATAACTGTAAAAGTTGATGTGATGAAAGGTCGCCGGAATTTTATCCCACTGGAATTTTACTCCATGGGCAATGCTGATGTCACTATGACGTAGTAACCTGAGCGCTTTAAAGTTTGTTTACAGGCGGAATTTTACCCCCTGTCCATATAACTAGCATTTAGGCAACTGTAGATGAACAGCCCTGATTTTTACCCCCGGAATGTAACCCCTGGATTTTACCCCTTAAATTTTACCATCTGTGCAGATATAAAAATTAGTGAGATTAAAACTAATGGGATTCAATTTTCTGATTTCATTTTTGATTAAATAGTAAACATTTTATTATTAAGTAGTCTACCTTCATTTATTTGTAATCTCAACTAAGTAAACAGGTTTTGCTGTTTAGTTTTGATATTCGAGTTTTGGGATTCAACTTTTGGGACCAACTGTTAGTTAATATGTACGTAAAAAAACTGAGTAGCCTATTTGAATGATAATTGGGGGGAAATTTCTTTAACGATTGATTTATAATACGACCATGGAAAAAAAATGTATTTCAAAGTAAATTAATTATTCTCACTAATTTCTATATACGTCCGGGGGTAAAATTCCGGGAGTAAAAATCTGGGCCGTACATTTTGAGCTGACCTCATGAAGGGGGTAAAAGTCCAGGAGTAAAATTCCAGCCCGTACACTCTAGGTTTTATAATTTGATGTGTTCTGATTAAATCCGTGAAAATATATGTTTAATTCCACCTTTAATTTATTGAACTGATGTTGTGCAACCCATAAGTTCGCGGCCGGAATTTTACCCCCGGTTTGTGACATAAGTTTTTTGCTCAGGAGGAAAAATTCCAAGGGCATAAAATTTGGCTACCCCGTGACGAAGGATGCTATAGTTTACAATTAGTCTCCAATTCAATTTGCTCGGTTAAAACTATATACATATCTCCAGAGAGTTACGGGACACCCTGTATAACAATTTGAACGAATGGTGTTTTTGGCCTCTGGGGACATCAAAATGAAAAAAGTAGGTACAGTGGAACCTCCATAGTTCGACACTTTTGTGGACTTAAGGGGTGTCAAACTATTGGGAGTAGGCCTAAATGGAGTTTATACAGGAAAGTAAAAACACACGTATTATGTAGAAATCACTTTAATTTATGAAATACAGTACTAAAAAGGCTAACAATTGCACTTTTAGTTACTGTAGATCAATTTTAAGTCAACAATAATGACAAATTAATGTTCAAGTCAAATTAAACATCACAATTATACATCACAATACTGTAGTAACTATTGAATTTCACTTAACAAAATATTTTGTTATCTTTGATTGTTTTTCAAAACTCTGATTTCTCTGCCGAGTAGCTTTGTCACGTAGTCTCCTAAGGCAAAGAATATCCATTGCCGACGCTCCCTGCTCCTGTAGGTACTAGAGGGCTCCCTCGATGAACTTCACACCTTTATTATGTATTAGTTTTGGTTGTGGGTCGTCAACCTCGCCCTCCAACTCTTCTTCATCACTCACATCCTTTTGTTTGAGAGCATCAACAATTTCTTCATCTGATGTAGGCCCCACTTCCTCATCTTCATTCATCTAATCATCAAAGCCACCGTACAAAGCTCCTTCGCTGCCTAGAATTTTCTGCATCGAAGTCACAAGTTCGTTGTCACTGGGATCTTCTTTTTGAACTCGTTTTGGTCCAAGAGTTTTCTCCATGAACGCACTAGAGTCAAGGGATTGAGTTCTCCCCTTAAATTAGCTATCCATCCGATTACATCCAGCATATCAATTATTTTTAATTTTCACCCAAGTCGAGTCCCTCGTTCATTCCTTTGAATAAGGCATGAGAGAAGTTTCTTCCTGTACAACTTTTTCAGTCAATAAAACGCCTTGATCCATTGGTTGGCACAGAGAGTTAGGTGGCAAAAACATTGCTTTTATTCATTCATCCTGACTTGCACTTTGGTTCTACACTTGGGTGGGTCGTTGCATTGTCAAGAAATAGAAGTGCTTTTCTTGGAAGATTCTTGGATTTTAAATGTTTCTCAACGTCTGGTACGAACTGCTTAAAGAACCATTCATTAAAAATATACTCAGACATCCATGCATTAGATTGATGCCTGTTGTACCAAACAGGGAGATCAAAAGTGTCACCCTTCATTTTAGCAAATTTCCCAAATAGGGAATAAGCTATATAACTGTAATGCTTCTTGTCTGCTTGTCTCTGTATGTGTCAATGTCAATTCAATTCAAAACATCTTTATTCATTAGTAGGCCTATATAATGTATATACAAGAATGGTGTCAAATTCATCATTACATAAAATATAAACACAAATAAAATCAAATACAATACACAAGATCAAAACAAAAAAAATAATACAGTCATCTCTCAAGTATAAAACAAAAATATACTTCAGTGAAAACAAAAATTGCTTCAGTGAAAATCAGTTTGCTTTAGTCACAACGGGTTATTGTACACACAATTATTTTGTGAACCTTTTCAGTTTAAATTCTTTGAAAAAACATAGTTTTTAGTTTAACTGCACTGTTTTGTTTTATGTGTTTGAAGATGTCGGACAAAAAAAAGAAAAGGTGCTTTGTTTCGATGGACATGAAGTTAGACGCACTAAAACGAATCGATAACGGAGAAAGTGTAAACAAAGTGGCGAGTGAAGTAATGTTGGTCGGTCGACAGTGATTGGATGGAAGAAGACAAGGACTGAAATCGAGACGTAGTGTTTGAAAAAACTTTGTACGGAATCGATTGTGGAAAGGAAAAGTATGAAAACTTCGGAGTACGAAAACATTGGTGAAGCGCTGATTCAGTGAAACCACTGAATACCGAACCATTCCGAAGGATTCAACGGGATAAAGGAACGACGATCAAAGGACCAATTCTTCAGGAAAAAGCACTGCAGTTTTACAACAAATTCAAAGGAGAAGGCGAGCATGATTTTGCTGCAAGCAGCGGCTGGTTAGACATGTGGAAACACAGGTATGGTGTCAAGCAACTTGGCGTTTGTGGGAAAAAGTTGTCAGCAAAACCAAATAGCGAAAGTGAATTTAAAGTCAAATTTCAAGCTTTGATTGAAGAAGAGGATCTGACTGGGGAGCAAATATATAATTGCGATGAAACAGGCCTAAATTTTAGAATGCTTCCAACTAAAAGCCTTACACTCAAAACAGAAAAAGCTGCTGATGGTTACAAAAAAAGTAAAGAAAGAGTAACCGTTTTACCTTGCAGCAACACACAAGAACCCACAAACAAATTAGCTCTTATAGGTAAAGCAAAAAAGCCTAGAGCCTTCAAAAACATAAATACCCCCGCCGCAGCAAACCTTGTAGGATTGTTGTTTATTCAGTTTTCGTGACAGCAGAACAATTTTTGCACCATTGTTTTCAGGTAAAATCTAGTTTCTAGTGACATATAAGTTACTATAGGTTCCCATTGTCACCTTGATAAATATAATCTCAATTTCCCTATTTTAATTCAATAGATTATTGTTCACGTATCAACTAGCAGTGAGTTTAATTTATTTAAAATTTAATTTAAAATATTTCAAGAACATAATTTACCGCATATCAAAAAGTTAGAAACTTTAAAACTATTTCTTTATTACTCAATGCTATATAAGCTTCATTGATACTCACGGGTGTGACAGGATAGAGACTAGAGGGAGAATGAGGCATTCTGACATGGTTCTGGTCCCACACATCAACAGGCTTGACAGGCCATGCCTCTGGAACCTCTCCTTGTTTCACTGGCAACTACAACAGTCAAGTTGGGCAAATTACTATAAGTCAAGTGATACAGGGCGTGACAGGATACAGACTAGAGGTAGAATGAGGCATTCTGACATGGTTCTGGTCCCACACATCAACAGGCTTGACAGGCCATGCCTCTGGAACCTCTCCTTGTTTCACTGGCAACTACAACAGTCAAGTTGGGCAAATTTCTATAAGTCAAGTGATACAGGGTGTGACAGGATACAGACTAGAGGTAGAATGAGGCATTCTGACATGGTTCTGGTCCCACACATCAACAGGCTTGACAGACCATGTCTCTGGAACCTCTCCTTGTTTCACTGGCAACTACAACAGTCAAGTTGGGCAAATTTCTATAAGTCAAGTGATACAGTGTGTGACAGGATACAGACTAGAGGTAGAATGAGGCATTCTGACATGGTTCTGGTCCCACACATCAACAGGCTTGACAGACCATGTCTCTGGAACCTCTCCTTGTTTCACTGACAACTACAACAGTCAAGTTGGGCAAATTTCTATAAGTCAAGTGATACAGGGTGTGACAGGATACAGACTAGAGGTAGAATGAGGCATTCTGACATGGTTCTGGTCCCACACATCAACAGGCTTGACAGGCCATGCCTCTGGAACCTCTCCTTGTTTCACTGGCAACTACAACAGTCAAGTTGGGCAAATTTCTATAAGTCAAGTGATACAGTGTGTGACAGGATACAGACTAGAGGTAGAATGAGGCATTCTGACATGGTTCTGGTCCCACACATCAACAGGCTTGACAGGCCATGCCTCTGGAACCTCTCCTTGTTTCACTGGCAACTACAACAGTCAAGTTGGGCAAATTTCTATAAGTCAAGTGATACAGGGTGTGACAGGATACAGACTAGAGGTAGAATGAGGCATTCTGACATGGTTCTGGTCCCACACATCAACAGGCTTGACACGCCATGCCTCTGGAACCTCTCCTTATTTCACTGGCAACTACAACAGTCAAGTTGGGCAAATTTCTATAAGTCAAGTGATATAGGGTGTGACAGGATAGAGACTACAGGGGGAATGAAGCATTCTGACATTTTTGGTCCCACACATCAACAGGCTTGACAGGCCATGCCTCTGGAACCTCTCCTTGTTTCACTGGCAACTACAACATTCAAGTTGGGCAACTTTCTATAAGTCAAGTGATACAGGGCGTGACAGGATACAGACTAGAGGTAGAATGAGGCATTCTGACATGGTTCTGGTCCCACACATCAACAGGCTTGACAGGCCATACCTCTGGAACCTCTCCTTGTTTCACTGGCAACTAGAACATTCAAGTTGTGCAACTTTCTATAAGTCAAGTGATACAGGTGTAACGGTCAAAAATGGACACCAAAAAATGTTTGACCTTATATATAATAAACGACGTATTGAACAAGGAGAGAAGATAGTTTTATTTGTTTTGAAGTATGAAAGTAGTAATGAACGGGGTGGAAAAGTACTGGGCTGAGCAAACGTTGACCCCTCCTCATCCCGGACGATTCTCGGAACGGCCGCTGCCGCGCCAGGCGCTGGTGTCGGGCCACGAGCGGGGTGGGGGAAGCCAAGAGCGAGCGGCAACGGAGAGCTCAGTTGGTCAGTCTCGTCCCAACCACCAGCCCAGTTGGACAAATCCTCCCCAGTGAGTGCAGTATACCTTTGGTTACACGTTAGTAATACTGTAGCTACACTCTACCACTCGTACCTTCGTTCAAACGGTGACATTCGATCGTTGCATTAAGGATTATTTCGTTTTCGTTAATTAATAGAAGAGTATACTTTTGTTTGCATTTTAGTTTTGCATAGAGGTTATTTGCAGTTTTAAGTTATTCTGGGAACCAGGGTCGCTCCTCTGACACCCAGGGTCACGTCATCGATTTTAGTTGTGTCTAGTTATAGAGTCTCGTCCCAGCTACCAGCCGAGTTAGACACATCCTCCCCGGTGAGTGCAGTATACTTTTGAGTTACACGTTAGTAATACTGTAGCTACACTTTACCGCTTTTACGTACGCTTAGACGCTCGATAACGTAAAATATGTTCGATCGTAGCTTTAAGTATTATTTCGTTTCGTTAATTAAAAGATGAATATAATTTTGTTTGCCTTTTTAGTTTTTCATAGAGGTTATTCGCCGTTATCGATCGGGGTCTGATCCCTCGACGTTAGCTCGCCGTTTCATAGTTTAGGGAACCAGGGCCGCTACCCTGACACCCCGGGTCACTTGACTGACCGTATTCGCCGTTCTTCGTTACTAGCGATCGAGACACAATCCCTCGACGCTAGCCCACCGTTTTATCGCTTTGGGAACCAGGGCCGCTACCCTGACACCCCGGGTCACTTGACCGACTTTATTCGTCGTTCTTCGTTACTAGTGATCGAGGCACGATCCCTCGACGCTAGCTCGCCGTCTCATCGTTTTGGGGACCAGGGCCGCTCCCCTGACACCCCGGGTCACTTGACCGACCGTATTCGCCGTTCTTCGTTACTAGCGATCGAGGCACGATCCCTCGACGCTAGCCCGCCGTTTCTTCGTTTGGGGAACCAGGGCCGCTACCCTGACACCCCGAGTCACTTGACCATTTTGTTCCATTCCATTTTGTTCCATTTTGTTTTGTCATGAGAGCATGAAGCTCCCTGACTGCAAGCCCGGTACCTATAATTAAACATACCCGGGCCCCATGATGTAGGCCGAAGCTAATTCACCAACCTTTGGTACATCATGGGAGGATGACTTAAGGTCATCAGGCTCACCGGCTGCCGAAGCACACCCTTCAGAGAGAGGGTTTCCCCTCAATCCTAACCATCAACAGGCTTGAAAGACCATGCCTCTGGAACCTCTCCTTGTTTCACTGGCAACTACAACATTCAAGTTGGGCAAATTTCTATAAGTCAAGTGATACAGGGCGTGACAGGATACAGACTAGAGGTAGAATGAGGCATTCTGACATGGTTCTGGTCCCACATATCAACAGGCTTGACAGACCATGTCTCTGGAACCTCTCCTTGTTTCACTGACAACTAGAACAGTCAAGTTGTACTTAGTTGTAAATAGTGATGTGTTGGTATCTAAAAATGATTCTCGCTACCCCCGGTTCTAGCGGAAAAGTACCGGCACCAAAACCTGACGTCAAATTGATTAAGTTTAAGTCTAAATTAAGCAAGTTTAGCAGCATCCGTAAACCTCTGATACGATCACAACAAAATCGTTAAAATCTTCCGAAATAGCAGTAACATCCGCGATAACCCACAGCAGTTGTGATTTTTCTTGACACAATAGCCATCAAAACGCCGTTAAAGAGTGGAAACCTCAATAGTAGGCTACCTACAATGGTTTGCAAAAAAATGTAGTCCTATAAAACACTGATTCACAGTCTTTTTACTGGTTGTCAAAACTCAAGCAGCCTGCAATTTCATACAACCCAGACTCTACGGTTCCCGACCTGGATGATGCCTAATTATTAAATTTCAATTTAGTTACACAATATTGTACTTGCAATCAATTAAATCTGTTATATAAGTCACGAGGTTATTAATCTCACGTGGTTTTGGATTTGTTTACAAAATGTGGAATTGGAAATGGTAGATATTTGTAAACAACATTTAATGTAAACATATTATCAGTGTAGTCAATGGTGACAGCTAGAAAAAAATAATCTTTATCCAATCAGCTGTTTGTTATTTTATAGATGACGTACTCTCTAAACAGATGATAAGTATTTAATAAATAACGTATGCAGTAAACATTGGAGAAAGCTTAAACCCATCCAGCGAAAACTATTTGGATCATGAACAGTGCTCTATATTTCTTGGAGTGGGCCACGTAAATTGGAATTTTGGCATTACAGACACAATGAAAGACAGACAGACAAACAAGCAGACCGAAATTGAGATAAAACTCGTTTTGGCTTTCGTATGGTAGAAAAAGTTGAAATAACCAAAAACTTCATAAAGTTGAAATAACCAAAAACTTCATGATTCTACGCTATGTACCGACAAAACTGTTATTTTTATTTATATAGATTTAATGTATAGTCAATGGTTACACATACTTTTACTTTACCAAGAAATAATTATAGGCTATACATACAGACAAAAAGCAGTCATACTTATTGCTTATTTTAAGGAAAATCTTTTGTGTATTGCCATGAAACCGTGAGGTAGAATCAAAAGTAATAAGTTTATCGTAATGCAAACATCTATCATGAGAATCAAAAGATTATTGTAAAAGCCGATAGGCCTATATATTTTATATTTTAAATGATTTTTAATACAATTCTTTAATTAAGGTTCCTATGTTAAGGGAGTTTATTGAAAAAACTGATATTTTACTGGGCACATCAAGGCATTTCATTCAAGTATGCGGTTGATTGTTGTGCGGCTTACGATTTTCTCAAAAGTTCATAATCCTTATTAGCTTAATCCATATATAAATCCCAAAGTACCCATGAACTTTTGGGAAAACTACAAGTCACACCTCCATAAACCATATACTTAAAATGTCCGTCATGACGAGAAACCTTGCGCAAAACTATCCATTATTTCATAAATCGTAATTCCTTTCTAAAGGGAACTTTCCATATAGGCTACCTAATGTTAAAAATACCTCAGCTGTACTTATTAGTTTGATATTATTTCAATTTATTACCTACCTTACTAGCAGAGTACCCATCCTTCGTACGGGGATGGCATATAAGTATAAAATGTTTATTGCAGTTATACTCAAGCTTTGCGTTTGCAATGAGGGAGGATACAGTATGATAAAATTTGCTTCTTTAAATTTACGGTATTCTATAGTATTACACATCTAGCATAGCCATAATGTTCTACCACTTCACCTAAACAATAGAGAAAAATAAATTATCAAACATTTGCAAAATATCACAAATTATTTATGAAATTAAAAACATAAACACTGTAAACAATCCTAATTTGACAGTTCTCATTGCGTATCACAGTTTTTTGTTGCTGCTTAGTTCAAATTAGCTGTTTACATTTAAATGC